CACCTGCCTTTAAAAAAAAAAAAAAAAAGAAAAGAAAAGAAAAGAAAAAAGAAAGAAAAAAAATTAAAGATGTCTCCTTTGCTGGGTATAGTGGTGCAGACCTGCACTGTAATCTCAGCACTTGGGAGGCTGAGGGAAGAGCATGGTTACAAGTTCAAAGCCAGCCTGCATACAAAGTGAGATCTTGTCTCAAAAAAATAAAACAAAATAAAAAAGCCTCTCCCCACCAAAAGCTCCTATGATTTCCCTTTATCCCTGGTCATTAGTTCCACATCTTCAACTGAACTCTTTGCATTTATATGCTGTCTGCTTCTTTCTCAATACATTATAAATTTCTTGAGATCAAGGACCAGGTCTTGTCATTGTACCCCTCTCAGTACAACCCTTGGATCATAGTAAATAGTTCCTAAATGATTAAATGCGTAGTTGTAATGTCTGTGCTATTTTATTCACATCTACCAAACCCAAAGTTTGACTGAGGGTGTAACTCAGCAGTACATAGCATGCACAAAGCCTTAGGTTTGATCCCCAACACACACACACAATCCAACTTTTCACACTACTATACTTATTGCGTAGCTTCTTTTTCTTTCTTTTGTTTTTTTTTTTTTGAGACAGGGTCTCACTATGTAGTTCATCTACTATCCTTACTACATTACTTTTGTTTTGTTTTTTGAGACAGGATCTCACCATGTAGTTCAGGCTGACTTTGGAAATTACTATGGAACCCCCCAGGCTGGCCTTGAACTCACTGCGGTCCTCCTGCCTCAGCCTCCCAAGTGCTAGCATTACAAGTGTGTGGCATTTATAAATCAAATCTTGTTGCAACTGCTTTTTGGAATGGTTTGAAGTTATACTTCATTATATCACAATCTCCTCAAACCTTGAACAGTGACTCTCATCCACCCATAGCATCCAGTTAGAGACGTTTAAGAGTCAACACTTCAGAGTGGAAGGCAAATTTCTGCGCGTGCGCACAAGGCACTTTTTTTGCCTTTCGACGACTCCTTTTTCCCTCTGGAGCGTGCGCACCAGGAAAGACAAAGGTGGGGAAAGTGACCAAGCAGTCATTCAGGCGCTTGCCCACCCTTAACGTGCTCAAACCCGGTGGTGAAGTAGCCGATGAAGTGGGTGTGGCCTGGCCAGGGCGGCGGAAGGCCAATCCGTAAGAGAGAGCTCGGCCCCCTTCCCCATGATTGGTCAATTTTCAGTGTTGTGGGGCGGGGAAAGGAAGGGGTGGAGGCGATGGAGTGGTGGGACGGCGAAGAAAGAGCACTCGTTTTGTTCTGCGCAAGCGCGAGAAAGCGACCAGAAGGGGGCGTGAGAGAGAGGAAGGGAGTGTGGAATCCTTGATGTGCTGGCGAGCGCGAGCCGGGTCGCCG